CATGATCTTTATATTCTCATTACCATGAAAAAGGAAAGATGAATCGTTTACAAAAATCATATAAAGACATTGCATCCCTTAACCATGCAAATCTACATAAGAGACATACAATCCAAAATTGCAAATACTAGACTTTGATACCAACGTAAACTTGACTTGCACACTGACCTGAACACTCAGTGCCTTCCTTAACTTGGAGCATCAACTAATAAAAGTGAAAACTTTCCCACTAAAGCAGTCAATTGGTGTTTGGTAATTGACTTTGTAATCAAAATATACAACCTTGTATTCTAAAGGAACATATGAGAGAGAAATGACATCATTAACCTGCCTTTCTCGAATGGAATGGAATATCAACATGTTTTATCTTGTCATTAAAGATTGGATCTTTTCAATCTTGAGAGCACCAGTAAAGTCTTTAAGGAGGGTTGGATGAAGTAACCTGAGCATTTTGCATGAAGTTATTGCCAAAACTCGGCTTTGTCCGTAAATTTTGACACTAATTACCTCTTGAGATATCAAGAAATAAGAGTTTCCCAAGGCCATCCAATAACATGTACTCAATCTCCATGCTCAATATGCACTATTTTTGAAGCTTTAAATTTTATAGTTAGAGATGAAAATAAATTTTCAGGCCATTACGAATATTTCTAGTACTAAAACAAATGTTTTTACATTATTTGAAGGTGCACCTTACTTTGATTGTTTAGGGCCTCAGCCTTATACAAACCACACCCTATATATGTATATTTGTGTGTGTGAGTGTGACAAAGATGCCTCCGGGTCGCAAATAGCTACAGCATAATACCTTCCAAGCATGAAAATACCCCTGGTTGGTGGACTGCATTTATATCCATACTGAAGCTTTCTGGGTGTTCCCATATTTGAGGAATGCATGTTCTTTTATGCCTGATGCTCCAAAATTACAGTTGCCTGTGAATCTTATGAAGCATTAATAACCTACTTGATGTGTCCTTTTTAGTTTCAGATTTTCTAGAGAATCCAAATAACAAAAATTGCTACCAGGTTCAGATTTGGTTTGGGATGTCCCAGTCTGAGCCCTTTTACGAAATGAAATTGGAGCTTTTGGATAAACACCAAATAGCAGCTACAGATGATGCAAATGGAACTGAGACAGTTGGGAATCATTTTACAATTCGGTGAGTATCGATTTAGAATTTTGGTTGCTCATCTGATTTGTATTTGACCAATTGTACATCTAAAGTGGATATTATATGTGGTTTAGACCAATTCACTCATCTTATAAAAGCATTTAGGACTGGAAGTGGTTTCTTGCTTTTGTTACTATACGAGCAGCGAGGCGATGCTATTCTCTTTTTATTGTATAATATATTGTGGATTTATTGACTTATGTATCCATCATTTATCCCTGAACTTTGCCTTTCTATTAGTCATTAAGCCCTTGTGGAACTCAAATTCACTGAGCATAAAATCAGAATTTTATGTTTATTTTTTTCCCCTCCTCATGGTCCTTTACATTTGATAAAAACAGAATTCTATTGAGGATTGAGATGTAGGAGTTGATGTCCAAGTATATCTATACATGAAGCAAGCACTAACAAGAAAATAGTTAACAGAGTCTAACATACGAAGGGTGTCTAGGCACTCCAGGTATTTCACAAACATCCAGGCAGCAGATGCTGTATATAACTGGTGCCTATGAACTGTGAGGTTTGCATGGAAATCTAGGGAAGCTCTTGTATACCTTCATCAAATTTACAAAGTTTGTGACTGGTCTGGTTTGGTCAGTCTCGGCCTTTGATTTAGGATCTGTGCAATAAATGAACTCGACAGGGCCTTTGTCTAGGTTGCTTTCCCTTTCTGTAAACATGAGAAAATGAATGAAGTGTCGATAACTTCCTGTGAAAACTTGAAAGGGTTTATATACAGCTGTAAATTGAAGTCAATGACAAGGTTGTCTCTATTACAAAGTACATAAGACGATATGTTCTTAACCAAAAAGGAAAAGGCACATAAACTCTTACATTATGGTGTAGAATATAAACCTGTATCTAACACCACTGGGCCCTTATTATGGCTGTATTGGGCAAGGCTAGGCCAGACCTGGCCCCACCTATCAAGTTTTGGGTGTAAGCATATGCATGAGTGGTTGTCTGTGAGAGTAACATTAATACGAGTGTCATGACACATCACTTTTTAGGGACCCTTCCCATTTCTCTTTCATTTGTACTGAAGTCTTGTAGTTTATTAACCAAATACGATCCTCTTTTTTTGTTTTTTTCTACCAAGTATCAATAACTCATCCTTCCCTTTCTCTTTGTTAGTTATTTATTTTCAAATAAATCTAAATATTTTCAAATTCATTTATTTTAGGGTAAGAAATTATTAGATGTATCAAAACCTTGTTTATCGAAAATAAACCTTAATTTTTATAATTAGATGTATCAAAACCATGTTTATAGAAAATAAACCTTAAATCATAATGCAAACCTTGTATGGACTATTCTATTGTAATGTAATATAAACCCGTATTCTACACTGCCTGGTTCATATTGTGGTTATATTGGGCCAGGCCGGACCTGGCTTGACCTGGCCTAACCTCTTAAGTTTAGGGGAGTGTGTATGCCCACCCAAACCTGGATGATTAATCCATGACCAGGATGAAGTTCAGGCAAAACTAAATGGTGGTCTAAAGTCTGAACTGACAGGTAAATGGATTTCGAAACTGCCTGATGTTGAAGAATCAGTGCATTAGGGATGAAATGTCACTCGAACTCAGAGCTAGGTGGTTCTTCTTGAAATGTGTTGAGGTGCAGCAATTGACTGGGCATCCAGGGGTAAGCACTTGTTCAGTCCAGGCGAAGAGATTTCATTTTTCTGTGGTACTCATTTCTTGTAGTTTATTATTGAATTATGTACCTTCTTTTCTTTTTACCACTGAGTACCCATCTACTCATCCTTCTCTTTCTTTTATATTACTTATTTGTTTCAAATAAATCTCATTGTTTAAAATATAATGGATGTGAACATCTCAATCTTTATGTTAAGAAATTAAAAAAGAAAAAAAAAAGTTGAAAAGTATGAAACTTTGAAATAAATGTATCGAAAACAAGTTTGAAACTTGGATTGTGAACCGGGCCACTATTGGGTAGTAACTAAGCTCATATGCAGCTCACAATGACTCGGGGTCTAGGCCAGGTTGGGATTGGTTTTAAGATTTTTGATCTGTAGCTAACAGCTAGGCTTGGACCCCAGTGATATTGAACCATGATAAGCTCAGATGATTCTTGGTCGAGGCTTTTATCTTATAGATTGGACCTAGCCGCTTTTGGACTTTGGTATTGAGAAGTCAGGTGCACGCATTGTTGGAGTAGTGTGTGAGCTAACATTAGGAAGCATCATGTACTCAAAAAAATAAAAATGCCTAGTATTCTAACATTTTTTGTAATAAGAATTAAAAAGAACGACAGCCTTGTTGATGGGTAGAGGTACCACAAACATGCCTTTAATAGACTTTGGTGAGAGCCAATCTCTTCCAGAATTGTAGGAACACTTAAATGTGTGTTGTTGGACGGTTATTGGTTACGCTTCCATGCAAGAAAGATCTCGCAAGATCTGTAGGAAGTAGAATGACAATTATAGACAACATAAGAGAGTGCTTCTGTTCAAAAATGATATTTGGTCAGGTGTGAGGGCAGGAAAACAGATGAAGAATATCATTTGCTCTAATATAGGCTTGGAAGTTATTGGAAACATATCCCTCCTCAGTCTGATCTAAAAATTTTGTTTTATGCTTTTCTCAAATGGTTCCATCATGGTTTGATACTTTTTGAAGATGTAAGCACATCATACTCGTGTTTGAGAAAATAGACCCATAGATTCTTTGAAATTTTATTAATGAATGTGATATAGTAGTAGTAGACTGTTTGACACAATAGAAACAAGGCCCTAGACACCAAAGTGCAGTAAAGAGAAAGGCTTGATGCTTTTCTTATTGTGGTAAAAGGAGAACCGGTGTGTTTTGCCAACTTGCACCTCTCACAATTATCCTCTTTATAAACAAATTTTTTGATAACACTGCATGCAAAAGTACATAGTTTAGAAGAGAGGGTGTCATCTGCGAGTGAAGTTTTCTTGCCCACAATGTCAACTGCAACGAAGGTTGTTGGATTGGTTACGTTCATGAGAATGGAGTATGGGAACATTCTATCAGCCTTAGGGTGTTGTCAACATCCATCGATCAGCATTTTGAGTATTCTTGCAATAGTTCCAAAGGGCCCAGTTTGCAACAAACAGTGGTGTTTTCTTTCCGCTTGCATGAGCTTAGGACTAGTAGGAATAGCCAAACCACATCACTGACATCCTGTGGGATAGCTTTGTCGACACACAAGTTTTTCCACCAAGGAGATCAGAGGGCATCATCAAGAGATAGAGTAGGAGTCTAATGACGAATAGATGCTCATGCATAGCCCCACAAAAAGAAGAAATAACTGAGACTGGCATTGTGCTTTAGCGGAAACCTCACTTGCCTCAACAGGGAACACAATCTATATTGATTCTGCATATCCATCTCACTTTGTATGCCTGCAAAACTGTTCAAGTTGTCTTAAATGGATAGCCGAGGCTTTCATCTTATAGGCTGGGCCTAGCAGACTTCAACCAAGCCACTTTTGGGCTCAGTTTTAATAATAACGATTAAACAAACAACAATCTTGTTGATGGTTAGAGGTATAACAAACATGCATTCAATGAACGTAGGTGTGAGCTAATTTCTTTCAGAATTGTAGGAATGCTTAAATGTGAGTTGTCAGGTGGTTATTAGCTATGCTTCCATGCAAGCTAGATATTGCAACATCTGTAGAAGTAGAATGAAAATTATAGACAAATTAAGAGAGTGCTTCAGTCCGAAATGCTCTGGAGAGTGGGAGTTCACAAGAGAATGAGTGATTTCAGGTGTATTTCAATGTTTTCTTTCACCAAGCCCATTTGGTCAGGTATGAGGGTAGGAAAACAGGTGACGTATATCGTTTGCGATCCAAGGCTTCACACCTGGATCCTCAGAAAATCCTTGAATTTCTTTCAATCCATATTACCCAGATGGTTGCTGCCATGGAGGTTTTCCAAAGGAGCCTGCCTGCCCAATGAGAATCCAAGGAGAGACTCAGGAGTGCCAGAAGAGAAGCAGGTGTAACCTAGGAGAGGCCGAAGAGGTGAAGGAGTCGGCTCCAAGATTGAAAGCAAGGCTGCAATGAATAAAGAGGTGAGGGTTGCTCTATTCTTCACAAAGGCACATGACGCAGCGGTTAGGAATGGAAATACCCCTCTCTTGTTGTTACTGTTGTATTGTGAAGTATTTTTAATCAAAACTATATTTGTAAGACCCAGACATACATTGAGGAGCCCATGCCAGCAATATGCCATATTATCGTATTTTTTAACTGCCAAGAGGATGGATCTCCTTGGGATTTTAGCTTTATAGTTGTTTCGCATGAGATCTTGCTTGAGAAATGTTTTGTTTCCTTTCCTGAAAGATATTATCTAAAACAGTGAAGTAAGATCTGCTAGAGGATGGGGAAGGGGCATCCCACTCTCTCTGCGTGCTTTTGCTCGTGTTATGACTGCTACTTGATGCCAGGGTAAACCCTTTTCTTTGATCTTCTATTTCACTAGGTTTTATTTTTTCATAAATATGTGAAATATGACACTTATGGTGCGTGTTTGCTATGTAATGAATCTTGTCCATAGAGTTGGAAGATTTGGTGAGAGAAGCTGCTCAAAATGATGGATGGCTTGCTCGGCGCCCGTTGATGAATAAGATCAAGGAGATTGAAGCCCATCAAATGTTACTTGAAGAATCGAGACTCTGATGCAGGGATATTCTCCCTGCATTTTGGTAATCTCTTTACTTTTATTGTGTTTATTTTTTCTAGTGGTGGGAGACAATATTGATTGCTCCTAAATTTTAATCATGTTTTCAGTGATTGAATTACCCTTTTCTTCCCCATTTTCCCCGCATGTTCCAATTTCTGCAAATTGTGGATTCTCAGTGTTTAGAAGGTTCCAAAGTTCAAACTTCAAACTAATTTTGAGATTCAGATTTAAGAAAAGAAGAGAGAAAAACAAGGAAACCCATTTTCATTGGTCTAAGTTCGGGTTGTGTTGACCTAACATTTCTAATTATCAAATGAATATTCACTAAAGAATTGTCAAATCGAGGAAACATATATTAGAGATTTGTTGATGTTCTAAAAGTGGAATAATTAAGCTCAATTATTTCTGATTTGTCAGAAGACAAAATGATAATAATGATCATCATCATTAGAGCCTTATTTCAACTATTTGGGTTCGGCTACATGAATTCTATTATGCTATTCTGCTTAAGGGTCATGCCCTTAGTAAGTACATAAGTCTCCATATCTTTTCTCACTACTTTCATCCATGTCCTTTTGGGCTTTTCCCTTACCCTTTTAGAACCTTCTACTTGAATCAAATCGCACCTCCAAACCGGTGTTGTATTGGGTTTACACTACCTATGATCAGCCCACCTAAGTCTACTTTCCTTCCCTCATCTTGTCACCTATTGGAGCCATCCTTAAATTCCCTTGAATATATTCATTCCAAATTCTATTCGTTCTTGTCTTACTACTCATCCATCTCAACATTCTCGTCTCTGCAACACTCGTCCTATGGGTATATCAAAATTCAAAATTCAAGATTCAGAAGACAAAATAATAGATGTCAAAGTTCTCTGAGCATGTTAGAACTCCTCCAGTTTAGCTCTCCCATTTCTCTTTCGCTAATTAGTGCTTATAAAATTGTTGATCCCTCCATAAAGCAAGTTGTCATCTCCTAAAGCTTGGCAATCAAAATTTTCTTTGGTATGGTTTGTGTGGTTGGGGCAGCATTTGGAAGAAATGTCCATTTGTGTTGAATGGTTCATGCTGTAGTTCTATGTTTTGATTTGTGTGCTTTGGAGTCCCTGCAGTTGAAGAATACGTGTACTGAGAACAGCCAACTTGAAACGCGGAGAAAGATGGCAATCGATTTTCTTTCAGGAGAGCTGCGAGGTCTTCGATCAGCATCCATGTGGTTGAAGAATTATCGCACCAGCTTATCTGGGGGTTAGCCACTATGGAAGCTTGATTGAGTTTTGCTCTTCACCTAAAAAGGGTTTCATTCTTTCCCTGCAAAAATGCCTATCTATTCTCCTCAATGTGATTACATATTATATTGAAAAAAGAAAAAATGAACGCCATTTTGTCATCTATGTGGTTTTACTTATGCTCCTTCGGTCCTCCATGTTCTCAAAGAGGGGATGAACATTGCTGTTGCAATGCAATTTTGTGCTCTCTCTCTCTCTCATACACATAACTTGGAACGGGTGCTCTTGACATCATGTTGTAGCTCCTCTACCCTGACCATGGTGCCAATAGCCCAATTTTCTCTGTGTCTCTCCTTCTCGTGCATGTACATGTTTGATTTTAGAAAACCACATTTGTGACAGTGAGAAACTAAGAGTAGCATGAAAATAGATGGATCGGATGACTTGTTTACAAATGCTCTTCATTTGTAATAAATCTATGCATTCGTCATCATCATCATTAAACATTTTTTTCAACTAATTGGTGTTGACTGCATGAATCTTGATCCATCATTTTGTTTTGTTAAAAGGTCATAGCCTCAGGAAAGTCATAAGTCCCCATATCTTTTTCACTATTTTTAACTATGTCCTTTTGAGCCTACTTCTTACCATTTTTTAGCCTTTTACTTGAACTGATTTATACCTTCGAACATGTGTTGTATTGGGTATGCGCTACACATGGTCAGCCTACCTAAGTTTATTTTATCACATCTTATCACTTATTGGTGTCAAACTTAAATTCTCCCGAATGCATTCATTTGAATTCTTTCCGTCATTGTCTTGTACTCATACATCTCAACATCTTTATCTTAGCTACACTCATTTTATGAGTGTGTTGTTTTTTGACTGCCCAATATTTCACTCCATAAAGTAAAGTTGGTTTTACGACTGCCCATAAAAATTGCCCTTCAACTTCATTAGTATGTGGCGAAGACATAAAACTCCGATTCCACATCTGCACTTCCTTCACCTAGCTCTAATTTCATGTGCGTCATTCTCCTCATTCTCTTTCTTTTTTTTATATTGTCGACCCAAGATATCGATAGTGCGCTCTTTTTGGTATTTTTTGGTCGTCAATCTCAACTAGTTCCTCGTTTTTACTCTTATTATTATTTCTAAACTTCCATTCCATGTACTTTAGAGTATTTTTCCAAAGTTCTAACTTTGTGTTGACGCCGTTTTGGGTCTCATTGATCAAAACTATCATCTACAAGCAACATGTATCATAGTACGTCACCATATAGGTCTCTAGTTAAATCGTCCACAACTAAGGTGAAAAGGTATGGGTTCAATACTAACCCTTGATGTAGACATATTGTTATTGAAAACTCATTTGCTTCTCCACTATTTGCTCGTACACTAGTTTGTGTTCCTTCGTACATATCTCAACCAGTCAATGTAGTTTTTGGAGACTTCATTCTTGTTCAATACCCACCAAATCAAATATTTAAGTAAATCATAAGCTTTTTAGATTAATAAAAACCATGTGGAGATCAATAAATTTATGCATTCCAATTTTATAATCAAATTTTTGTTTGACACGTAAAGTAAAGGACTAGGAGCATTCAAATGTGGAAAAAGAATGCCAAATAGAGCAAAAGACGAACTAAATACGTAAAAGGATTGTATACCTGGAGACCATTTATCTTTGTTATTAGGAGGTCATAAAAATATTTTTAGTTGTCACGAAGTTTGACAAAATTTGTTTTGAACTTCAAATCTAATAAATAATATGATCATAACTACTTGATATGTAATCCAATAGATAGGGTGATTGTGACTTTTTTGTATAAAAAATAAACGATATCTTGTATACTTTACTGTATGTAAATTTGGTCATATGGATTTGGAGAAAGGATTAAAAACAAATTGCAGGTTGGCTGTTTTAAGCATCTTCCTCGTGTTCTCTTTTGAGGTTGTTCATGTTTTTGGTGCACTGACTCTTAGAAAGGCTTGTCCTGCATGAGGTACAAACTAATAATGGACCAATCTTAAACATTTCAATGGTCATATTGAAATGTTAAAGAAGTCAAAATCCTCTGTTGTCAATTATCAATCCTACTTCATGCGGAAATATATTTCCACGTCATCCCAGAGTCAAGAGGATTTTTTCTAAAATTTTGAGATAATCACCAAATAATTAATTTTTGTATAAAATAGATTATAAGTTTAAAAATATTTAGAGCAAACCATCCAATAATTGGATATTTTTGTTCAATTTTTTTAATGTCATTTTATTAGGCACTCACAAAATCCAATGGATTTTTTAGATTGATCCTAAGGATAAGGAGGTTATCCCACTTGTACAAATCAATGCATGGATTTGGACTCTTGTTCGAAACCACCACTTGGAGCGAGTACTCAGCCCATGCCAATCCCAATAAGGGCCGAGTACTGTAGCAGCAAAAAAATATTAAAAGAATTAAAAAATCTCAAAAAAAAAAGAAGAAATATATATTTAAAGTAAAATTAAGCAAAACACATCAGAATGAGATTTAAAAAGTAATAAAAATATTTAGATAATCGATTTGTTATCGTGGGTATATTTGAAATAATTCAAAAAATATGGAAAAATGAAAAAATAAGTATCCGAGGCTAAAACACTTTTTAGTCTTTGTCAAATTTGACAGAAAACATTTTTTTAAAAAAAAAAAACACAAATGAATGCCTTATTTTTTGAGATTTTTTAAGAATTATTATTATTATTATTTAATATTCCCAAGGGGGACACCCAATTGGAGGAAGCACATTCGAAACTCAACCCGAGTACTTAAACATTATTTCAAGCAACCTTGAAAAAAGGAGTCACCTGGCAAAAATGGACTTTGCCAAAATCATGATCATCATCATAGCATTTTTTCAACGATTTGCGGTTGCCTACAAAAATCCTAGTCCACCATCCTGCTCTATGAAGGGTCATATTATCAATGAGGCCATATGTCCCCATATTTTTTTTCACTACTTCCAACTATATCGGGCTTACCCTATAGCTTTTTTTTAGCCTTCCATTAGAACCAACTCGTATTTTTTTTTTTGACCAACATACAAATTTTTTATTGATGACTTAAAATGAAATTACATCATCAGAAATAGCAAAAGAGCCAAGAGAGATTAGCTAATGAATCAGCAACACCATTAGTTTCACGGTAAACATAGGAAAAAGATACATATATAGATATAGATGCAAAAGCATCTATAACCTGTAACCATAACGATCGAAGTTCCCACGGTATTTTCTGCGCTTTCTTGTACCACCTGATAGCATTCAAAGAGTCTCTTTCAATTAAACAAATATTCTCCAACCTCCTATCAATGAAAATATGCACACCCCTTAGCAAGGCACTTAATTATGCAAAATTAGCTGTAGCAATACCAATTGGTCCCGCATAGGATAGAACAATATTTCCAAAGCAATCACGAAAAACACCACCAATCCCCGTTGGACCCGGGTTCCCAAAGGAGCTCCCATCAAAATTTAGCTTCAGAGACCCTATAGGCGGAGCGAACCACAATCCCTTAGGCTGACATCTACTCACATCAAAAATAGATTAGAAAGATTAATCATAACATCAACTTTGGAGATCCCCCTACCCTCTTTGGCCACCGAGAGACTTGATCATATAGAAAGTTTGATTAAATGAAGTAACTTGTCAAACAGCAAAGCAGAATCCTCAAAAGTTATCATATTTCTCTCTTTCCAAACTTCCCACAGAATGACACCTTTTGCAATTTTCCATATCGTACCACCAACTTTAGACAAAAAGGGGAACGTGAATTGTGTAACAAAATCAAGCAAACTAAGAGGCAACACTAGGGAGACTCCTACCAGGTCTAACAACCATTGCCAAATTCTTGAAGTAAAGGATCAATGGATCAAAAGATGAGCTACTGATTTGCCGTCTTGTTTACAAAGTAAACAATTGTTTGGCAAAATCTTGCCCTTTTTTTGAAGATTATCAATTGTCAAGATTTTGTTCTGCGCAGCCAGCCAAACAAATACTTGAATCTTATGGGGTTATTGGCCATTTCCAAATTTGGGCAATATTAGGTCATGACCATCTCCATCGATCATGAAGAAACAAATTATAGCAAGATTTTACTGAAAAATTACCGTCACTTTCAATATCTTATACTAACATATCATCTGCATCTTGTGAAATATACACTTTGTCCAAAAGTTCCATCAGCGAACACCACTGGGATAAAAGCACATGATTTAGACACCTATATCTGAGAGATATATTCCATGAATATTGATGACATCTCCTTTCCAATGCTTCACAAATCAAAATATTTGAGTTAGAAACCACACGGAACAAATCAGGGAAAGCAAATTTAAGAAGAAAATTCCAAAACCATTTGTGATGCTAAAACAAGACCTGTCGACCACTTCCAACATTCTATCTAAAATAACCTAAAATCATAGGCCTACAGTTGTAAATAGTTCACCACATTTAAGATGTCTCCTTACCTCTACCGCCACTTAGCTATAACTCATAACAATCCATCCCATATTGAGCAACTAAAACTTGGTAACAAAGATGATCTTTCAAGTGTATACTGTGCCACCACCATTTACACAAAAGAGCTTGGTTAAACATTTTAATATTCCGAATACACAATCCACCTTCATGCTTGGGGGTACAAACTCTATCACATCTTAACAAATGAAATTTTATATTCTCACCATACGAACCCCACAGAAAATCTCTCATCATTCTTTCAATTCTTTTCCTTACCAAAGCTGGAATTTGAATCACCAACATTTGGTACACATGAAGGTTGGCCAAACATGATCTTAAAAGTGTAACTTACCCCCCAAGGATAAATATTTATGCTTCTACAGATCAAGTTTTAATTGCACCATCTCAATAATCTTATCCCAATCTGCAATAGAAAATTTTGAGTTTGAAGTTGGCAAGACCAAATAAGTGATTGGGAAAGAACCAACTTTGCACCCTATAACAATATCCAGGTTATTCATCAAAGAATCTGTACAATTTATTCCCACCAGAGATGACTTATGACAATTAACTCTGATCCCCAAAGTCACTTCACAAAATTCAAGAAATCTTGCAATATTACCCAACTGTAAATAAAAATGGAGAAAGTGGATCACCTTGG